ATTAACGTGGCGGCTCGAGGATCGAAACTATACTGTCTCGAGATCATGTATTGAACTCTATAGTGGCACTGGCGCCGCGATTATGTCAGCTTCGAAATCTTAGCGCGTTACCATCCTCACATATCTCTCAATTATAATTCCTCGATTATAATTATAATCCAATTATCATTGGAATTGTTTCTAATGCTCGCACACCACTCGAGCAAGGAATATATATATACGATCTTTGCTCCGGATGCGGAGGACAGGACGACGCCACGAGCCTATTTTCCGTATATTTATATTTATTCGTACGTGAAAGCGCATATTGTTTTGCTACTTCGTACACACACTCGAGATGGAATTCAAGGTCGCGCGCGAGCCTACAACGACGACGAGCAAATGATCCGATTAACCGATCGATGGAAATTAATCGTCACCGCAATTAGGTATCCGACTTCCTTAATTACACGCCGATTTTCTGCTGCTGCTGATTTATGCTCGTACTGAAATAAATACGGCTAGCTACCGATTCCCGAGTCACCGAGTTTCGGCAATATCGCGCCGAGGTTAGACGGAAGACACGCGCCGATCGCCACGATAATTCAAACGTTTCGCCTTCTTTTTTTTATTATTATCATTTCGAATTGCGTCAGGCTTCTGTTTGCTTCTTTTTTTTTTTTACGATCGGAAATCGTTCGTGCGCAAATGTACACACTCACACACACGTGAGATATAAGGCAATGTACGGATAATCTTCGGCGCTTGATTGGTATGAGGAGAGGCGTACGCGCATATACACGCGCGCGCTTATGTCTTATACATCCTGGTTTTTCATCCTCGAAATTTCCTTCCCGATTCGTTGATACATCTTATAGGTATAGCTGTGCAGCTCTGCGCTGCTTAATAATAATTAAATGTATAGGTATATAGTTTGTTGGCTCGCGTAACTTGTTTCTTTTTTTGTTGTTGTTGTTGTTGTTTTAACGCGTGCGGCGCAGCACTCGAGAGAGAAAGCTTCATAATAGGCACGCGTCTCATCAATCATTCATCGGACAGGCATCGAGCGGTAGCTGCAGTTCTTTTTTTTATTTATAAAATTTTTTCTTATTTTTTCCTTCGAGGCGTACGTTGTATATAAAACGTATATATTTACAAGACGATCGCCGAAGCCACTTGAAAAGTCAAGTGGAACCGATGATGATGGCATTTGGCCGCTTCAGTCGGAATTGTCACTCGAGTGGTCCGGAACTAGCTATTAAAAAAGCGAGAAGATGCTTTTCTCTCTCTCGCTCGCTCGCAGAAGTATCATATAAAAGTAACGCCATCGGGATCCGTCTTCTCTCTCGACTTTTCTTCTTCTCTACTAACGAGCTGCGGTTTTCGGGCATAATGTCGTCTCATTATGTAGAATAAAAGCTGCTACTGGCTACGTATATATATAGTATAGTAAAGTGATTAAGTAGCGTAAAAGTGTAGTAGTAGTGCAGGTGGCGATCCGGGGCCTTAGCGAGAATACGTGTCGCTTTTACTAGGACACAGGCAGCAGCAGCAGCAGCAGTTGTAGCTCCTAGTAAGCAACAGCAGCAGGAGCAGCAGCACCTGGTGCGGCCTCTAGTTCGGTGGAAAAAAATAAAGAAGAGAAAAAAAGAGAAAAAAGAGAAAAAATTGGGTTAGCGCGACACTAGGACAATAGTAGGCAGCAGCAGAAGGCGCAATTGAACGATGCAACTAGAGTACGTACGTATGTGTACGTGGAATCGCGCCGTTTAACCCCTTCGTAAATATAAAATACACTGGCCATACGTATACATTTACTTCCCGTGGCAGGAAGTAGGATATATATACATTTAGACAATGAGAACTACTGCGCGAGGATGACCTAGTCAGGCAGTTGTTGTTGTTGTTGTTGTTGTTGTTGCTGCTCCTGTTTATTGATCTCGACTGAAAAGGGAGAAATAAAAAAGACGGAGTGGCACCACGACGAAAAGGGGGAAGGAAGAAGAAGAAGACGGTCGAGGGAGTATAGTAGTAGCAGATCGTGACTTCCGGTCCTTGGCGCGCTCGGGAGATCTCTCTAGCTCTTATACGGAGGTGGTGGCGGTTCAACAGGTCGGCCGCCGGCTGCACACGCGGCACCAACATTATATATCCGGTGGTATATGAAGCAGCAGTGATCCTGGAGCCGCACCGACGCAGCGGCAGCAAAACGCAGCAGCGCACGTATATAAACGCAAAAATAAACACATCGCGATTGTGTTTACGTAGCTATACAGTACGCTATAGACATAGCCGATCGGAGTCATGTGCAGCTGCTCTAATTACGCTATAGGTCACGCGCTCGTACGATTGTTTGCTCCAGCGATCATCTTCGATCCTCGACGAATACTTTGTACGATATTTTTTTTATTTACTTTGTTGCTGCAGTGGCCTAGAGAATTACCGTAACGATCGTGTATCGCGGCCTAATCCCGCAGTAATTATTCGACTTAACGCGCGCGACGCGTACAGAGAATCTCGAGTCACTCGGGCTGATTACAATGGAAATTTTTGGGCAACTCTTTGGACTCGCGGAGCCGCGGTAGTTAGAGCTAGTGTACAAATTGCTGCGTACGCTCGACCGCACCAACTTTTAATTAAAAAACACTTTTTTCTCTCTCTCTCTTTTTCGCACTCTGCGCACTGACGCAACGCAACTACATATACACACAGCACCGTGCGTATATTATACGTACAAACATTCATCTCTCGCCGTGTATATTTCCAAATATATGTATCGTATTTATAAAGATCGATTCTGCCACACACGTGCTATAGGCTCTATTATAGCTGGTGAGCCCAAAGGCTTTAGCGAGCGAGGCTCGAAAGCTCCGAGCGACTCTCGTGTGTGACCCGGATTATATTCCGCCGCTGCTGCGTATATAAACTTTTGCCAGCTTCGCAATGTTTGATAACACAGCACTCGTGGGGCTCTTATTCTATTTTCAGTTTATGTGTACCGATGGATATTATTATACGCGCGCGAGAGATCGTGTAAAGTCTCGCGCGAGCGCGGCTCGTGCCACGGCATGTACATGTACGCGAGAAGAAAAAAAGGAGCCAAGCAGTAGGAGCACGTATAGAGGGCAAGAAAAATGACGGAAGACCGAGAAACACTAGTCGAATATTAAAAAAAAAAAAAAAAAAATGAGGAACGATGTAAAATTATGAAAAACGACGCTCAGGAATTATGACGAAAATTATGATTTTACGTAATAGCGGATCACGTTTAATCACGAAGTAGTTGTATGTACATTTCGGATGTATATTAGAAAGTGTCAACTTGAGTAAGTAGCGAGCCGGGCGGGCGGCGCACACGTCCCATTACCGACTCGTATAATATATTAATGTATCATATTAGTACCGTATTGTATACGTCCGTGTCAGCTGTGATTGTCCAGCGAGCTTAATGAGTGGTTTTTCTCGACACTGCAGGCTATAGCTCATTATGCAATGTTGCGTCGCTCCAGATGCCCGGGCGCGTGCCACACCGATTTATATTACTGTAGTATTTATGGAGAAAAAAAACATGTAAATGTGTATAGGATTTTCTTTCCGGTATAAGCCGTGTAGTGATGCACGATTACGTTCGGATTATCGGGAGGCGTGTGTGCCCGTGTATCGAGGTACGTACTTATTAAGCGTACAGCTGCGGCGCGTAGCTTAGTTTTTCTCGTAAAACCTGCGCGACAATAATTATTATTACCGATTCTCTCTCCGGTTGGTTGCGTATATAGCTGCGCAAACAGAGCCGTAATAAAAATAGGAAAAAGTCGAATAGTCGTATAGCCGAAAAGTCGGGGGCGATCATCGTCGTATATTCGACAAACGGAATTGATAATAAAATTTAAAAAAAAAAAAAGAAGGAAGAAAAGGTCGGGTAATTGCGCGCGAGTCGTCCACAGCTGGCCCTGCCTATATCATACGCGTGAATTTTTATTGCCAGCTCGGAACTGCACACATACTCGCACACGGAGCAATTGTAGCTATACATACACTACAGTCGGACACGCGCTCGCTAATAAACATAATTAATCCCGCTCGTTGATCGTCGTCGTCGTCGTCCCTTCTCATACGTACAGACATGTATATATCCTATAAAGGGATAGCTATATATATAGAGAGAGCGAGGCGTTTCACTTGCCCAGGAAGTTGACGCGTCCACTTTGGGAGCTCGTGCGCGCGTGACGTGTATCATCGCTCTCCGAATTAATTGACGACAATCGCCCTCGTTCCTTATTTTACTTCGTTTTATTGCCTTCTTTTTTGCCCGATTCGACCGTGCGATACTCGCGAGATACCGCGTGTATACGTAAAATTTCCAATTTTGAATTTTGAGGACTGCTCGGGGACGTAGTATACAGGTAAAACCTAGAAATTATTTGTCGAGCTTTCCGATCGCTGCTCGTGGATGAGTGACGATGGTGGTGGGGGTGTCGGTGGCGCGTGCTGCAGCCGGCGCACACAAATACATACACACATACGCACACATAGAGATCGGTTGCAGCTGTCAGCTTGGCGCGTTTATACTATACGTAGGTCCATATTACGGAGCAATGCTCGGCGGCAGCGAGCTTCCCCCCTCGAAAAAATCCCAAAAAATATCCTACACAGAGTGGGTAGTAGTAGTAGGGGTGCCAACGAGCCTCGATTCTTCAACCCCCACTGCTCCAAAATCTACTCTCTCTCTGCACCTATATACGGGGTTGCACTCGCGGTGGATGTATAACGTAGGTATAAGCGTGTATAAGTACTTGGAAGGTGCAGCGCTCGGTAGAGCTTGGCGAATCGGCCGTAGGGCGGCGCTAGTAGTCGTCGTCGTAGTCGTGCGTGTAGAGCAGCCCTCCCCTCCTTTCTTCTCTGCTTCGCATAAAGCGGAGCACGCCGGGTGTCTACTAGTATACAGTCCATCCCCTCTCCCACCGACGTCTCTCGCAATTTTCGAACGCCGCATGTATATGGTATATACAGCAGCAGGCAGGCTATAAGCTACCCCCGCACCGCACCGCCGAATCCGCCGCTTGGATCTGTGTGTGTATGTGTGTATTATAACGCGGCGCGGAGGCGCAGAAAGCAGCCGCCAGCTAGCATCAGTTTCTCCCGGAGCGCCGAGCCGATCGCACACGAGCCACGCACGCACACACACACTAAACAATAATATAAGGCATACGCGCTTGTTAACAAGCGAAACATCGTAAGGCTCGCTCGCTCACTACCTTCATTCATTCCTTCACCTTCTCATAACACACATTAATATTACCATTACAAAAATACATCATCGTTCGAACGAGTTGTGTTGTGTGTCGTGTGCCTCACTCACTCACTCACTCACTCATTGATTCATTGACGATTCCATCCACGATCCCAATTCATTTTTGTACATCGTAATTCAGTGCGTATCAACGACAACACGCCCCAGTGTCTGTGCATTTGTATAAGTTGTGACTACTCAAGGGATCTCTTGTGAATATATAGTGAAAAAAAAATAAATAAATAAAAGTGCATGATTCAGTGTTTATCAAAGTGTGTTGTTTGCTGAGAATCAGGAAATAAACAAGATCACGAGTTCGATGTCGCGAGGAGTCTGTCATGCCGCGTCCTCTCGTTGAGCTCGCTGCAGCGCTGCCTCACGACTCGTCGCCGCAGCCCATCGACGACATCCTCGTCATCGGTAGCTAGTGTTCGTTATATACATACGACGACGAAGCGACCAAGATCCGATAAACGCATCCTACGCAACGACGACGTTTTATCTCTGCACAACGACGACGACGAATCGCATCGCAACTACCACAAAATGACGACGAGCATCCGCAGGTCGTTGATCGTGCTTTTGGCCCTGCTCGGCCTGACGACGCAGTTGGCCTCGGCCTCGGGCGTGTTCGAGCTCAGGCTCAAGCGCTTCGACAATCTCAACGGCAAGGACAGCCTCGGCAAGTGTTGCGCCGGCCAGCCTCGGCCCGGCAGCGACGAGTGCAGCGGGCGCTGCCGCGTGCGCTTCCGCATCTGCCTCAAGCAGTACCAGGTCAACATCGACACGTCGACGCCGTGCACCTACGGCGACGTCGTGACGCCCGTGCTCGACGATCCGGCCAAGCTCAAGCTCAACACGTCCGACTTCACCAACCCCATCAGCTTCCCCTTTGATTTCACCTGGCCCGTAAGTACCTTCGAGTAACGCTCGCAGTTCGGTGTTAGCGTCGTTCGCCAGATGTGCCGCGTTTATACTATACTTGTGTGTGTGTGTGTGCGCTTCAACCCCTACTTTCGAACGTTGTAACGCTTTACCGGCGATTTCTACCCTCGCTATATATGCATGGCGTTCCTCGAATGCCATTCGCTCTCTTTTACTTGCCTTCTTTCTTCAACTTGTGTATAGTAGCATTTGTCGCCTTTATTTTCGGACTTTCGAGAATCGGCACTGTACCGTACTGTGCTGTGCTGTGCTCTGTATATATATGCGACAAACGACACTTGCGCTTGTGAGAGTTTTCTATGCTATATAGCTACGATGTCCGATCGTCGTCGGTGCGCTTCTCGATTCAATTTTTCCAATTATATACATGCTCTCGCCCTCGGCTTGAATAAAAAGCTCAATGATTTATGGTACAAGCCGAGGTCCGTTGCGCTGCGCGCCGTGTCTATAACGTATCCTCTCTCGTACAATGTATAACGCATTTGAATAGCTACATATAAGCAATTGTGTTTTTCTTTTTTTTTTGCTGCGCGACACTATACACTACTACTACTACTACCGGTGTGGAGAGCAACGACTCCGAACTTTGACGTTTAGCCATCGTCTTTGTTTATACTATTTATAATGATACACATGTCGAGCGCGTCGATCCCGCATAGATAATACTCGTGTATAACGTACGGAGGAGGTCTCTCGCGAGCGCCCGTGAATTCGGTATAAGTGTAGCATCGGTCGAGTTTGGCTTGGCGTTTAACGCAACAGTACGCACATTATGTATAATACAACATCGGGCAGATCGGAGAAATTTTGGTTAATACCCAAACACCTGGCGTTAGCGGTAAAGAAAGTCGGCTCTCCTTAAATAGGGCCGAGAGACAATAGCGGGACCTCCCGGCTGTTTTTCTTTCTAATTTTTTATTTTCTGCCGCCGAAAAATCCTTGCCCGCGCGGTTCAGTGATATAAACACGCAGACGAGACGAGCTGATTAATGAACGGACGCTAATTTGTAAATGACTCACAGCGACGCGCATCATTGGCAGCTGAGCCGCGATATTATGATGTTCCAAGGCGTTATAGTGTACAGTCGCGTCTCTCGTCTACTCGCCGCTCGTTGTTTACTTACCGACACACACACATACACACAGTCGCGTGCAGACGGATACACACATAGACGCGCTATTATAGGCAGTGTGATAGACGCAGACGCGCGATAGGAGCAAATACACGGAAAAAGAGAGAGAGAGAATATTATGAATGGCTAATAGCTGCAGTGCTATATAATGTAGAACGAGTGAGATACAATACGTATAATACGCGTCTCGTCGAGAGGGTCAGTAGCAGCGGCAGCAGCAGCAGCTCTCCACGTGATTACAAAGTAGTAGTTCTGGCGCATCCCGGAGAGATAATGCGACCCATAAACATTTTGCCTTGGGTGAGAGAGAGAGAGAGAGAGTGAGCCGTTGTAGTCGGTTCGTGATGGGCATATAAGCGCTACTCTCGTTCCGGTGTAGGTACTACTACTACTACTACTACTGTAGCAGTGCGCGCCGGTGCCGATTATATTTTTAGCCCTCGCGAGACCCGCCGAGTGAGTGCGAGTCGAGTCGAGTCGGTTTTTCGAGTTGCTGCTCTCTCAGAGTCTCGAGAGAGCTATAAAAACAGAATCTCGAAGCGAGAAAAACGAGCTCGCGAGTACGAAGTTGCAGCACACTGCACTGCGCGCGTTGGGAGAGTAATTTTTCTGCCGTGGCTGGCGCGCGTTTCCGAAATGCTCGCTTGTAGTTGTATATAGCATTGCGTAGCAGCAGCAGCAGCAGCAGCAGCAGCGGCCCTGCGCGCCACAAAGGCCCTATACACTGCGGCTAGTAGATATATATATCGCGTTCGGAAATTCGGAGAAAGCCCTTGTTACGTTGTGGCTGGGCTGCAGTCCAGTCAGCAGCAGCAGGTAGTCACCGAAGAGAGTAGCAAAATGCTATATATATAATACAGTAATATCCTATAGGTATATATACCTGCAGTGCTGCTTATATAGCTTAGTGCTGCAGCAGTCGAGGCATAATAACGGTGAAATGGTTTTGCGTCCTCGGGCCATGTTCCCTTACTGCTGCTGCTGCTGCTGCTGCTGCTGCTGCTCAATGATGCTCTTCGCGTTTCGCTCCCTATACGCACACACACACATATGTATATAGGAGAGCCGCTATATATAGCATATTTATATACTCTTCTTCTTTCTCTCTCTCTCTCTCTCATTCTCATTCTCGTCCTCTCTCTGCCGATCGTTCTCTGCCCGCGAGTTTCTGTATGCGTGCTGCGCAGAGCGAGCCGCGGCCGAGAGTAAAACACAACGTGAGAACGCGAGGCGCCGTAGGCGCGACACGTGCTTTTCTCTCCCTCTCTCTCTCTCTCTCTCTTTCTATCTTTCTCTCATTCGAGATGTGTCGATGCTGCTGCTGCTGCGTCAGCTGATCGTGCGAGCTCCGACTTGCCGATGTTCTCTCTCTCTCTCGAATCGATTCGCGTTTTTCTTCACCCACTGCAGTACGGCTCGCAAATATATATTTTCGCTCGTGTGACGAGAATGTATTTTATGACGGTGTCTGTGTGCAGCAGCGAAACACGCGCGTGTGTGTGTGTGTGTGCGTGGATTCTTTTTTCATCCTCCCTTGCGCAGCAGCGCGTCTTTCAACGGCAGCAACCACTTACATTGTTCGCTACCTCTCTTTCTCTCGGTCTTTTCGCAGGTATTTCGAGATATAGCCGGTGCGAGCTGCGTATCTTTTCGAGAAAGACTTTTTCAGCTTTTTGCCGGCTCAATTTCAATCTCTGTAATAAATTAGCGAACGATCACGGTGGCATTTGTCTCTTTGGTTATTTATCTCTCTCTTTCTTTTCGTCGCTCCTTTACTACTTTCTTTTCTGCTTCTGCTGCTGCTGCTGCAATCGAAAGCGTGCGAGGATATGTATAAAGGCCAGGGCTACATTATTTCGACATAGCAAGAACCCTTTTTCGTATACGTGTGTGTGCGCGCGCGTTGGTAGTAGTAGTAATAGTAGTGCGTCGTATTTCGAAAAATACGCGCGGACCGAGGCAACACATAACTCAGCTCCTTGACAAATGTTCCGCCGGGATATTCTTGCGGATTCCACCTTTTCTTTCTCTCCGTTCGTGGCCTCTCTCTGGCTTGTGTTGTTGTTGCTATATAGTCTGCGTGTGTGTGTGGAGGTACACACATGCTGCATGCATGCTTGCGCACCTATGCGAGCGAGAGCTGCTGCTGCTGCTCCTTCTCTCCTTGTCGTCCTCGTCCTAGTCGTCTTTTTACTTCGTCCTGGACGTCCTCCTCCTCCTCTTCTCCTCCTTCGTCTCCTTCTTCTTCTTCTTCTTCTTCGTCTTATTCGAGGCCTCCGTCTATTATACTTATGTACTCAACTCTCGAGCGAGATAGTGAATCGGACCTCGAAAAATTAATAGCAATATCCGTTCTTTGCCGCATAGCTCGCAGTCTCTCTCTCTCTCTCTTATTCTCCTTGCTTCTCTTTCTGCATCTTCTGCATCTTGTGTGCACCACCGCGTCGTTCCTTTTTTTCCCCCTCATTTCGTACGCTCGCTCGTTCGATCACTTTCTCTCGTACATGTAGTATGTACCGCACGCTGCAACAAGTTTCGTTCTGTCACTTTCGGAAACCTTTAAAAATAGCCTTTCGATCGATGCACATGTGTTTTTCAGCGTGTGTGTAAGTGAGTACATATATACATATAAACTGCACGTAATACGTGATGATCGCGCGCGGCGTGTGGCACTAATGAAGCGGGCACGATGGGTTTTTCGAATACGCGCGGAAAAGATAAAAAACGATTCGGGCCGCGCGCACACGAGCTTTTCTTTGAAATATCCCTATTGATTTCGCGGATGTCGAGCGAGCGAACACGAACGAACGAGAGAGAGCGTTGTTATTTTAGGGAAGGCTATGTGCTTTTCCGCTGTAAATTTAGTTCCTTTGCCAGCGATGATTGTGATGGTGGGCCAAGGCCCACCAGGAACGTGCTCGAATGTCTGTTTATTCAATGTAGCGAACGCGTGAATATATATAGATAGAATAACGCGTCTCCTCCTTTTTGTATCTCTTTCGATATTTTACTACTACTGATATATAATATTACGATGTTATAGCATGTTTGTAGGAGTCGTGACAACTAATCGGAACTAATCGTTTCTTTTTTTTCACAGGGTACCTTCTCGCTGATCGTAGAGGCATTCCACGACAGTCTCGACAACGTTTCGTCCAAAGGTAAGCTTTTGAAATACTATTTATACATACACACACATGTAAGATATAATATACGAAGACGAGCGCACGTGTTTTCTCTCTCGAGATCGGTAAAAGGCCACTCCGTAGCACACAGAGAGTCGATCGACGGCATCCTATCGCGCGAGCAAATTTGTGCAATCCCGGTTGTGTGTTGCGCGTCGAGAGTACATATAAGCGTATTATTAAAGGTGTATTGTGCATCATTGCGATGGCGAGAGCGTGGGTGGGTAGTTTGTATATGTATACAGAGAGAGACGACGACGACGATGGCAACACGAGCAGCACGTGGCGTGTACCGTATATAGTGTTTCCTTCCTGTGTCCTGCGTACGCGCGTGTAACACGAGACGCTATATACGTAGAGCGCAGTCGTGCAGTCTACTACCATATACATACACTCGCACATATGCAGCAGCAGCAGCCCCCACCCCGTCGCGCCCACGATCGCAATAATACGGACGCGTATACGCACGCCGCAGTCCCGTAGAATTTTTCATTCATGAAAAAAATTATCTCTCTCCCTTTTTTTTTTTTTTCATTTCATTTCGCGGCCGCACCGTATAGCACACATATTGTAATGCGCAAAAGGAGTCGAGGAAAAAAAAAAAAGTAACGAAACAATGTCCGGAGGGGGTTGGTTGCCCGAGAGCAGTTCCGCGCGCTCGTGGTGAATTGGATTGGGCATCATCGACCATATTACGTCTCTACACGAGCTACAAATACGCATTGCTCACGCGCAAAAAAAAAAGTGTACATAAGTGTACGGCCACGCAGAGCGAGAGAGCGAGACAATGTGTGTGCTGGATGCTGTTCTGCTTCCTTTCTCATGAGGCTGCTGCTGCTGCTGCAGTGCAGAGCATACACCTGCACGACGACTCTGCTGCAGCACACACACACACATATACTTCTCTCCTACCTATACTCCTACTCCTCCTCGTCTTTCTTTTCGCGTACATACATACACATACACGTGTACTGCTATATAGCTCTGCTCTTTGTCCTAATGCAGTGCACTTATAAGCAGCAGCGAGCACGTGACTGCACACGGAGCCGAGCTGAGCGAGAGAGGAGCCCTACGGCTCTGCGGAAGTCTGGGGCGCAAAAAGGCCTCGCGGCCAATCGGCTACCGATCGTTTCTCTCGCTCGTTTTCTCCTCTCTGCTGCTGCTGCTGCTGCTGCTCGTCTCTCCTACGCAATGTTGTACTTTTACGAGAGATACACATGCCTTGTGGCACACATCGTTGTATATATTATTTTGGCCGCAGAGATGCTCCGGGCCATACCGGAGAGAGTTCAATAATCACTTTATAGCTGCTCCGTTAATTTGCTTATGTCACTCCTGTATAACACGCGAGTCGTTGGTTGGTTCGTTCGCGCGCACGAGCCATAAATGTAAACAAATACGATATCTGCGGACTCGTGTGTCTTCGTATGTATTATATCTACATGTGTGCGTACGCGTCTGTTCACCTATATATTATGCGCCGTAATTCAATACTCATGTTTGTCTCTCTCTCTTGTAAATATCATCAGGTGGTCATCATGCAGTTGCATCGAGCAATAACAACAGCAACACCAACAGCAGCTATCACAGTAGCAGCATCGGTAGCAGCGGCTCCAACAATCGAGTGATCATCACGCGGCTGGCCACGCAGCGCTGGCTCGACGTGGGCAGCGAGTGGGTCGAGGACGAGCACAAGTCCCACAGCTCGGAGATGCTCTACGATTACCGGGTGACCTGCTCGCCCTACTACTACGGCAAGGGCTGCGAGAACCTGTGCAGGCCACGCGACGACAGCTTCGGCCACTATCGCTGCTCGAGCGCCGGCCAGCGCGTCTGCCTGTCCGGCTGGAAGGGCGATTACTGCGCTACTCGTGAGTATTATTATTATTTTACCAACTTTTTTATGTATACGCTTTATCATCGACGACGCGCGCAAGACTCTCCCTTAGCCTAAATTTTACAACGATTTTTAGGTTGCGAACCGATCGATATGTATTCTTTTATCCTCGTCGGAGTCGCGCTGGCTATGTGCCTCATTATATGTATCGCGCGCAAAGGGGCCCCTCTCTCTCTCTATACTATACTCGCGTGCACGGGCGCGCGCGAGCGAGCATATATAGGCCCATTATATATTATCCCCGACGCCGGCGTGCAGATTTTCGAAAATTAGCCAGCCGCGCGCGCGCGAGCGAGCTCTCTTACTCGTGAGCTCTTCTCTCTCTTTTACTCGATGCATCATCATGAGAATAATAAGAGGAGATGATGAGGCTTCGCGAATCGCTTGTATATACCAACCAATAGACCGGCGGTAATTTTTGTTTTCGGAAAAATTAGTTCTAAAGCCCCAGAAATTGCTGCCAAAAAATCGCTAAAATTCAGCAAACGGCGCGGCCGTAAAAAAGGTTGTGCGAGTCTTCGAGACTCGGAGAGATAGAGAAGACAGTACATAATACTTTTATAACTCGACTCTTCGGCGCGCTGGTAAATAATCTCTCTCTCGCTCTCGCGTTATAAAAGTATCACACACACACACACTTCCAATATACTATGCTTTTGGAGAAACGGTTGTTGTTTCTTCTTCTTTTCTTCCGTGTGTGTGTGTCTTTTTTTTCGAAAAATCGGTATCCTACGCGCGGACGACAAAGAAAGGTGCACAAAGAGATATTTCGAAATTCGCTGGCCTGGCTTACGCGAGAGTCGCTCGGCGTGCGAAAGGTCCTCGTGTTCTCACGGCTTCGATGAGAGAGAGAAAGAGATGCATCTCTCTCTTGCACTGTTGAGGAGTGGCTCGATACTCACTCTCTCTGTCTCTACCTATATATAGATAGACACCTATAAACGCTATATTGGCACAAGTAGTTTTGGGATGCATACGCGGTCTTACGGAGCATCTTTTCTCGAGGAAGACGTAGCACTAGGAGAGAGAGAGAGTAAATACGCGATCCGAAGAGAGTATACATATATACGTGTGTATAGTCGCGGCTATACATAAGCACGTGTGAGTGAGTGAGTGCAGAAGAACGAGTGCCGTGCATATACGTGTGTGTGTATATAAGCGAAGAGAGCGGCTGCTTGCTGCTGCTTCCCACGCTTCGTGCAACAAGGCACCATAAGCTTCTTTTCGCTTCTCTCTTCTTCTCTTCTTCGCAAGGCACACACACACACACACACACGTACAAAGTTATATACACACATTTGCTCGGCTCTCAGTCAGTCAGGTAGAGCTGCTGAGCACGAGGCAGCAGCTATGCATATATAGTCAGGGGCCCGACGCGACTATGCACCGCAGCACACACACACACACGCTACCTGCACGAAAATCGGCGACTATTGCCTCTTTTTCGCTCGGCTCTTCGGCTTTGCTCTCTCTCTCTCTTTCTTTCTCTCGTATTCATCGCGTCTAGTCTTGCGGACCGCAGCGAAATTTTTTGCTTTCTCCCTTACTGCTGCTACAACGATGCTGTTTTTTTTTTTCTTCAACCTGCCTCTCTTGCACGAGGCACACGGCTCTTTCTCGTGTGCATGCCAGCAGCCTAAACTACACCACTCGCGCCGCGCTTCACGTGCAGCAGCAGCAGCAGCAGCAGCAGCAGCGCAGTTTCTTCACGCTCTACGAGAGAAGAAGTGAAAAGTTGAAAAGGATCGTGTTACTCGATTTCGGTATTTCTCTGTGCCCAAAAATGTGTCCAAATATCAGGAGTTGGCTCCTTTTCTGCTCCCTCCGAAATCGATGCACGGACGATCGCGTGGAAGCTGCCAAGAGAGCGAACGTCAAGCTCGTCTATATATACCTATACAAAACACTGTGAGATGTTGGGGGCTACTAAACTGCAGCAGTTCGAGCTCGGGAGTCGTTTGTGGCTTGGGAAATTACTATATACGCCGAGGCGACTACTTATAAACGAGACGACGACGCCTCCGCCCATCGAGCGAGCCTCGAGCAGATCACGCTGCAGATATATTTATGCGTGTGGACTGTCCTCTTAATATAGATAATAATAAGCCGGGTCCGATGTCATGGCGTTGTTAGCGCCTCACCGCAGAGCCTCTTCTCTCATCGGGCTTCCGTATAGTAGTAGTAGCGAGCTCGAGGGCAGCAGCTTATATACCCTACTCTCTACTCTCTCTCTCTCCGACTCGCATGCGAAAAGCATCTCGCAAAATTTATAGCGCTGGAATCGAAGTAGGCCAAAGAGGAGCACACAGCGACGACGAGCCAAGGCAGTCCATAGATCGTGTCGTCGTATATATATATACAATATACATGCAGCTGCGCGGCGTGCTTATACAGACACACACTTACATACTATTAAAGGCTGTATATATATAGGTGTGCAGTGGCTCTCTGCGCACTGCGTCCGACAATTACGGTAACTTTTCGTCGCGCACACATCCTCTCTCGCAGCTTTACCTCGCGCGCGCAATGTTGAACTTTCTTGCCCAACGGCTATTAAGCCTGCGTACATATATATATTCGCTTTGTGTATGTGTGTTGGTAGGTTGTGCTGCAGTTCTGCAGTGCTGCACGTTAAGGATAACGTGTATGTGTGTGTGTGTGTGTGTGTGTGTGTGCGCGCACGCGGATCGTCGTATACGGAGTCGAATCGAGTTTCCTCGCCGGTCGTTGCACCTGCCTTTGACTATATGGCTCGCGCGCGCGCGTACCAACACACGGCCTCCGTCGTCTTTTTATGGGGACACATACTTACACACGGACACATGCACATTTACGCGGACGCGAGAGTATATATATAGTCTCTGCGCCTCTGCTGCGATCATGCTCATGCGGAGCTAAAAAGAGTGTATATACGTGTGACCGACAAACGCTTTCTTGTCCTCTCCTCCTAACGCGAACGAAACAATAAGGTAGCTGCGAGAAGTAGAAAAAAAAAAGAATTACCCATCGCGCGGCCAAAAGGATATGCGAATGCGATCGCGCCGAGCTATGCTCACGTATAGCGCGAGCGTATCAACCGTCTCTCTCTCTACTTGGCTACTTATCCTATGCAAACTTTGAAGAGAGACTACTCGCTGCGGCTCGAGGGGAAAGGTCGCGCATACGTGTATGTGTGTACGACGCACTGTATAGTAGTACTCGAGCAGGGGGGCAGCTGCGCCGTTGCCTCTCTCTCTCTCTCTCTTTCTATGTGTGTGTATCGGTGTGTGCCTACACACATATATACACGACGATCGGTATATAAAGCCAAGCGAGCAGCTGTCCGGTTCTCGTAGCCGCAGCAGCTGCTCCTGACGTTTTTCGCTATACTCACACGTATATGGTACGCACACCAATTCGTGCGCTCTTCGCATATACACGCGCATATTTTTTCTCTCTCCTCGATGTGTATGCGTGAGCTGCAAACGGTATTGTATATAGCCCCGTGCGTTAGTAATGAAAAGGGCGAAAAATCGATAAATACGTTGGGACCCAAAGTTGCAGCGAGTGAGAGAGAGACGACGCGCCGTCGGGTTAATGTCGTTAGACGGGTTTAAAGGGCGCGCTCGTATATATAAGAGAGAGAGTATTTCGCGAGACTCCGAAGACGACGACGACGACGAGGAAGGCGGCGGCGGCGATCAGTCATTTAAACATCGGAGCTATTTTTTGAATACGTTCCTTTGGGCGCAGAAAGAGAGAGACAGAGAGAGAGAGATAAAAGAAAATGAAAAAAAGGCAGCGAGTTGCATGCGCGCGGTCTGAAAGAGAGAGAGAGAAGAGAAGCGAGAAAGAGCGAGTTTCTCGATGACAGTAGCGGCGCAGTCGAGCAGTGGAGAAGCTTCTCTCTATTTCCACGGGTCGAGGAATCTCTGCGATTCGGCCATTCCCTTGACTGTAAGCCGTACTGCTGGCTTGGCTTGGCTTGCGACGACTATAAATACCAAAGAGGCCCTTCTACTTGTGTGCTGCTGCTGCATCTCTCTCTCTTTCTCTCTGTGTCTCGCGTTTGCTCGTTTGCTTGCCGGCGCGCACACACACACGTATAATACACACATACGCTCGCAGCAAAGAATACAAGAGCTGCTGCTCGCGAGATCTCCGATGTGTGTGCAGCAGCAGCAGCGGCGGTGAGAGAGTATCAAGGTCAGGTTGTCCTATGCCCTCTCGGCGAGTCCGCTCACACTTGCAGCGCACCCATACACACACACATGCACATATATAAGGATCGTTTGCCATATAATATGAAGAGCTGCTGCTGCTGCTTAACTGCAGCGAATCGCGCCGATGCAGTGAGAGATGCGGCGGCGGCGGCGGCGGCTGCACTTTCACTTGCAGCAGCAGCAGCTCAGGCAAATATATATACCTGTACTATAAATCGCGCTCTCTCGACTCCGCGCGCGATGCATGCCGAGAGAGTCTTTATAGGGGCTAGTATATATACGCGACCGATAGCCGAGCTCCGCAGCTCACTTTGGAGAAGAATGCGCGAGCTTTTAACCTTTGCATGCCCCTCCACCGATGACCAACAACCACCACCACCACCACCCCCTCCGACCCAACTCTCTCGCGCGCGCGGCCCGATGATCTTTTGCTCTTACTCATTATATATAGAAGATACTCATGTGTGTGTTTTTGTTCTGTTTGTATTTTTGCAGCCCAATGCCTGGCCGGATGTGACGAGCAGCACGGATACTGCAGCCGACCCAACGAGTGCCTGTAAGTATACTTCTTATTCGTGTACCTACCTACCTGTGTGTATATTCTAGACACACACACAAACACACACACACGACTCGTACTTACACTTAGGTATATAGGCAGCTGTATACTTAACGTCGGTATTCACCCACATGTGCATACATACGTACATATATATACCCGCACATAACATACAGCAGCAGCAGCGGCAGCAACGGCAGCGAGAGATGTGCACCTTTTCTTATCTCGCTCTCTGTCTGTTGCAAACTTGGCTCTCCATCGTCGTTCGTTGTCTTGGTCGTCGTGAGATGCACCCTCCTTTTCATCTGGTTTGCTTCTCTCTTCATGTGTGCATGTGTGCATGTGTGTGCAGCACACAGAACACAGTGCCGCCGACACTGACTGCAATGCGGCCCCCCATTGGCGCTCTCTGCTGCTGCTGCTGCTGCTGCAGTGCCAGAGTCTATACATATATATATATATATATATATAGCTGTGTCTGTGTGTGCTGCTGCTGCTGCTGCTGCTGCTGCTGCAGCTATGCTGTGTGTGCAATGCAGCCGGTCAGAAAGAGAGAGAGAGAGAGGACCATTATCGTGTCTACACGGATCTCTCCTCCACCTCATTCAATCCATAGCTGCTGCTGCTGCTGCTGCCGTTGTTGCTGTGCGCGACGTCGTTCCTCTCCCTCACCTTCCATACACCATATACACAAGTCAGAGAGAGGATCGCTGCAACTCTTCTCTCTCTCTCTCTCTCTGCTGATCCGAGATGCCGCTTCAGGATTATCCTGCCTCTCTTGTATGGATATATGCGTACGTGTGTGGGTGGTTCATATATATACCAGCACGTACCAGCATTCACACGTACACACACACACGTGTGCGCCAAGGCAACGAAAGAGAGAAATACTTTGACTGCAGTTGGAATTCTCTTTTCTCTCTCTCTCTCTCTACGCGATCGACGCTGCTCTCAAGTGTGTGTGCGAGCAATACTTACACACACACACACGCACACGTACGGAGATACACGCGGGATCGGATGGCATTTTACACCGATTTCTAACTTACTTTCGTAATAATCCGAGACCCGTCCTTCCTCTCTTTTCCTCTTTTCGTTAATTCCGCGAAAAATAAAATAAAAAATCAGTGAAGAAAGAAAAAAAAAGTACACGCGTGTCCGCGTGTGTGTATACAGAGGAGCTGGCGATCTCTCGCTCGTCGATCTGACACACGAACTGCTGCTGCTGCTGCTGTCGCTGGGGATATAATGCGCGCATCCAGCACACACACAGTCTCCAGATGTTCATTCCCACAGTTTTGTCGAATATCGTTTCTCGAATTATAATATTAAATACTCTCCTGCGAAAGGAGCGACGAGAAAGAGAGAGAGAGAGAGAGAGAGACCAAGTTTGTGAGGCAAGCTGCTGCTGCTGTACCTACCTACCTGCGCGCGTCTTATTAAATCATCTGCTTATCGGCGCCGAAGATCTAAATAATACGTATATGATCCTCGACGAGTCGCGCGCTCAGTCGGCAGTTCGCATTATATACATGTGCGGGTCTCTCTCTCTCTCTCTCTCTCTCTCTCTCTCTATACCTTATATATATTAACTCGACAATAAAGCTGCAGCAGCGTAGAGAGAGCGAATTTCAGCTCGATCGCAGCAGCGGACAATGTGCATCGCCTGAGAGAGTTCGAAGAAGGGGGTAAAGAGGAAAAGCTCTCTCTCTCTCGCTCGACTCACTCGAGCGCGTGAATTGCATCACGAATGCGTGCGGCTATTAGTCATTCATTTCTCTCTCTCTTTCTGGCCGTGCGACAAGTGCGCGCACAGACCTGCACTGACTGCAGTCGCACACGCACGTATAGGGCAGCAGCGTCATCGAATTCCCATCGTGTTTTTCGCACACACTCTCTGACGCAGAAAGAAAGAAAGAGAGAGAGAATCGCCGTCACAGAAGCGCGCACAGCTCGTTGCGTTCCCCGAAATCGTCGCGGAAACACGCAGTCGCGCAAAGCACCACGAGCTTCGGACGCGCGAGTCTCGACGTGTCCTCCCATCCTCTTTTAACTATATACATATATATACACCTCCTCGTGTACTTCTCCTCCACCTTCCCAACGGTGTATATGTGTGTGTGTGCCTCCTTCAGTTCTCTCTCTCTCTTCTTCTTCTTCTTCTTCTCCGTCGTTTCGCCGACAGAGTGCGTTTATAAATCCATCCGTGGGATCGGTCCCATTCGGAATGAAATGTTTCGCACACATGCAAACACACCGAGAGAGAGAGAGAGAGAGAGCCGAACCGATATTATACGCAGAGAGCTCCCATGCATTGGCCCACACCATCATCATCATCATCATCATCATCGCCGTCATGGTCATCATCGTTGCTTTTGTCCGCACGCGCCCACGAGCTCGATCGCTCGCCCTTTTGCCCTCTCGCGACCGATCGAATTCTCCATATATACCGATCGCGATCAGTAGCAGCAGCAGCAACTCGAACGTACGTCAAATTCTCAAAAATCGGATCGAATCGGATCGAGTCGCAAGAGAGAAGCCAGCCGACTTCCTTCCGAATTTATTGCAATGGAAATGCAGATGCCTTTTCAGCAGTGGCAGAGGTAGCTTGGAAGCTTTCGAAGAATAAGAAAGGAGCAAACGATCTTCTTGCTGACTCTCTTGCTTCTTGCTTCTTCTTCTTCTTCTTCTCGCCGATCCTTTGCGCAGTACACACACACACACGCTCACATGCATGCAAGCGCGGCGATATCCAGCAGCAGCTAAGGATTTAATGCTACAGTCATGCTCCTCTCCGTGCATAGAGAGAGAGAGAGAGAGAAGAATCGGCAGGCGAGTGAGAGAGAGAGAGAGAGAGAGAAGAGAAGTAAAGGAGCGCGAGCGAGCGTAACCTTTCCTTGACCCGCATACTGAGAGCGCCGAGCGAGTGTGGACTCGCAAGCGCGCGCGCGCGCGGCCCGACCAGAGAAAGAGAGAGAGAGAGAGAGAGAGAGAGAGAGAAGGCTCCAACCGTGGGAACAGCCGGCCAGCGTTGCTTACTTGTGACTACGACTCATCCCCCACCTCGGCTTTAAAATCTACCTTATATACCTGCTTGCCTCATACCAGCTCTCTTTCTCAGCTTCTCTCTCTCTCTCTCCTTCTCTCCGGACGCCGCCGCCGCCGCTTCTTTCTCTTCCTTTTTCGCACTGGTGTGTGCATGTGTGTACCTACCTATAGACCTGCTGCACGTATACGTAGCTATAGATATATAGCTCTCTCTCTCTCTCTCTCTCCTCACGCGCAGTGGACAAAGTAATAGCCACCACATCCTTGCCTTGCTTCTGCTGCATAGCGTATACACACACACACACACACACACACACACACACGTAAACTCGCGGACACACACGAATTGCAGCACTCGCACATATACGAGAGAAAGAGAGAATGACCGGCGCGTCCGGCCTGCGCGAATTTCTCAACATACACGCATAACACACACACACACACACATACAGAAAAATAATTCATACGCTTTATGTCTCATGGTTTTTTTTTTGCTTCTTTCTGTTTCATGAAATGTGAAAAAAAAAAACGAAACAGGTGCCATAACGGTTGGACCGGGCCATTCTGCGACCAGTGCGTGAGGTACCCAGGCTGCTCGCACGGCAGCTGCCAAAAGCCCTGGGAGTGCCTCTGCGACGAGGGCTGGGGCGGTCTGTTCTGCAACCAGGACCTCAACTACTGCACCAATCACAAGCCCTGCCACAACGGCGGCACCTGCTTCAACACGGGCCAGGGCTCGTACACGTGCGCCTGCGCGCCCGGCTTCACCGGCACCGACTGCGAGACGCCCCTGCTCGACTGCTCGTCCCAGCCGTGCCTCAATCAGGGCACCTGCCTGCCCAGCCCGGCCAACGGCACCCAGGTCGAGGCCATCGACGCCGCTGGATCGTCATCGACGAGCATCGCCCGCAAGTACCGCTGCAGCTGTCCCCAGGGCTGGCGCGGACGCCACTGCGAGGTGAGCTCGCGCTCCTGCCGGGACTCGCCCTGCGCCCGGGGCGCCACCTGCGAGGACGACAGCGAGCGGGGCTTCAAGTGCCACTGTCCGGCCGGCTACGAGGGTCCCGACTGCGAGCGCCAGATCGACGAGTGCGCCCCGAGCCCCTGCGCCAACGGCGGCACCTGCACCGACCTGCTGGCCGGCTTCCGCTGCACCTGTCCCGCGGGCTTCAGCGGCGAGCGCTGCCAGATCAACAACGACGACTGCGCCGACCAGCCCTGCCTCAACGGGGCCACCTGCATCGACCTCGTCAATCGCTACCGCTGCCAGTGCGTGCCCGGCTACGTGGGCAGGCTGTGCCAGGAGAAGGTCGACTACTGCCTGCACAAGCCCTGCGCCAACGGCGGCAACTGCACCTCGGCGGTCAACGATTACCAGTGCCTCTGCAAGCCCGGCTTCACCGGCAAGGACTGCTCGGTCGACGTCGACGAGTGCCTGAGCGCGCCCTGCCTCCACGGCGGCAGCTGTCGCGACCGCGTCAACGGCTACTCGTGCGACTGCGCCCCGGGCTGGCGCGGCGACAACTGCGCCGAGCCCATCACCGCCTCCGCCATCATCAGGCCCAATCAGCCCGGCTACTGGACCGCCGGCGGCGGCAGATCGGCCGCTGCCGTGGCCGCGGCCCCCGAGTCCCAGGAGGGGGTGCTCAGCACCGAGCACGTCGTCGTCATCGCCACCATATCGACGGCCGTGCCCGCCTTCGTCTTCATCGCCGTCGTCGCGGTCATGTGCATGAAGCGCCGCCAGAAGCGCGAGCAGGCCAAGGCCGACGAGGAGGCGCGCCTGCAGAACGAGCGCAACGCCGTGCACAGCAGCATGAGCAAGCGAGCCACGGCCATGCTCAGCGGCGGCCCCCTCGACCCCAACGGCGGCGGCGGCGGCGGCGGCGATCCCCACATGATCAAGAACACCTGGAACGCCCAGTCGAGCTGCAGCCAGCTGTCGAGCTCCGATCGATCCTCCACGTCCGGCAAGAGCGTCAACAACGACATCTACGACGCGTCGCTGCTCGACTCTGCGGGGGCCATCTACAACAAGGCCGAGCCCGTGCAGGACCTGGCCTGTCGCCAGGTCAGGTCGACCAAGCAGCTCAACACCGAGGCCGCGGCGCATCGGGCCAGCCAGCACCTCTACTCGCAAAAGTCCATCGAAAAGGACTCGTGCCAGCAGCAGCTGCTCGACAAGCGCGCCTCCACCCTGTTCTCGGCCACGGACAGCTGCTGCGCGTCCGTCTGCGGCGGCGGCGGCGACCTCAAGAGGCCCAACACGAACATCGTGGATTCGCTGATGGACGACACGCAGCAACAGCAACACAGCGACGGCGGCTGCTCGGCGGTCTACGTCATCGACGAGCACTACGCGAGGCGAGACCCGCTCGCCACCGACGTCTAGAAGACGGCCGACTAACAAGCGGCGTCGTCGTTTCACATTTTTCACGCGCTCGACCAACGATAGATCGAGAGCGAGACAAAGAGCCACGACCCCCTCGAGAGCTCGGCTGCCTTGTGCGCTTTTGTTGACTTTTGTTTATATTATATGTTAATTAATTTTGACTCATAGTGACAGTGTGCCCCTCGTGACACCGACAACCAATTTTTTTTTTTCAAATGAAGAAAACGGACTCTTTTCCACAAGAAAAAGAGGAACAAATGGATGCTGTGTTAGTGGTCGGTGCGTCGACCACCACCGATTGCTATTTAGAAATTTAATTAACTCTAGTTATCGCACGTTACATGTGTAGATAATTTATAAATATTTATATACACACATATAAATATATAAATACATATATTTATAGACGCTTTCGCCTAGCGTCTTGTACATAAGTAATTTAATGATGATGTATGCGATGATGATTAATTCTTTTTTTTTTCGTCGACATGGGTGTGCATCGTGTACGCGATCGGCGCTTTTGCAAGGCCCCCCCGCGATAGATCGTTTATTTCCCACTTCTTTTTTTTATCGCAACGAACAAACATTTTTACTTAATTTTGTACATGAGCTATCGACACTAAAGGGCCTCACATGCATGAGCATTATTATTCTACAGATCGACGTTGCGATAATGAATCGAATGATCTTTTTTTCTCCTCTTGCTGGATGATTTGCGCGCTTGACCCAGTGACGAGAGATCGAAGCGAGAGAGAAAAAAAGCGCGTCTCACGCATACAGGTGCAAGTAACTAAACAAACAAAAAAAAGGAAGAAAAAAAATATGACTGTGTTGTATTCGTAAATAGCGCGACGATCGCCGGGCATACCCGGGCGTTAAAAGTATGTAAATGTATTATTAATTGCGTAACGATATTAACTAGAAAGCGGCGCGCACTGTTAAGACGTTTATTTTTTTGCGTTCCGTGCAATTGTCATCCGTTCGCGGTGTCGTGTGTGTGGGTGTCGAACACGGATGAGAGTTCAACGGAACATGTATCAAAGTGAGAGCGCGTCGCGATTAAGACGGAACTATATCTTAATTGACTCTTATAGAGTCCCTTCTACAACGGCTTATATTATGTGGGAGAGAGAGTAAATAATTGACTTTGATGCGTGCGTGCCCCGAATGATTTGTTGAAATGGTCATTGATACAGAGCGACGATTTTTGGTTCTCTTCGATTCTCTCTCTTTCAAGATAGACGAGACGAGGACGGCGGGGCTGAGCGTTAGACACGCGTCTCTCTTTTCCCTTGATTCGTTTTTTCACTCCTTCGCGCGCGTGTGTATGTGTGCGAGTTCATTGACAGTCTGTCGGTTGTGCACCGTGCGCTTACACACTAGTTATAGCTTTTTCGTCGCTCTTCTCCTTCTTCGAGTCGACGAGTCCAAAAATAAGCCCGCTAAAGTGCCACTGTCTCGCTTTGGGCTTTATCAAGGTTATTGCGCGCGCGCGCGAGAGAGCGAAAGAACGCTTGATCGAAGGTTCTAATGGAGCATCCGACGTTCAGCCCCGTCTCACTTTTCGCGTAACCGAGAGTATTGAGAATTGCTTTTTCACTTTGCGAACAACGGCCGCACGAAAAACCACAATCGCTTCTATTTGTTTGAATCACTATACGTTTACGCGCGACATCTTCGCTGCGAATGATAATTATTTTTTTTGTGTGTAATAGCTTTCACTCTCGAAGATCTCGTAAAACGGTCAGCAGAACAGATGAATAAGACTTTTTTTTGTATATTTTTTTACACTAACAGTATCTCGTTTTTTTATTTTTTTTTTTTTTAATTTTTTTTTCGTACGAATAAGTTATTGATGATCTTTTCATTATGTGTGTACGTGTGTATTTCCGAGTGTATAATTTTTTCGGTCTATCGCGGTGGTTAGCGATTTGACCTGTATAATCATAGATTTATATATAAATCACAAAGTTGCCAGCGCTCGCCAGCAATGGATTCCAAAGTCCGGCATTATTATTATGCTATTTGAATGAGTAAAATCAAGCGAGTTGATTCCATAACATTGTATATATAGTTATATAAAAATAATGACAAGACCATATTTCGAAGGACACGGTGCCAGCAAGTTTTTTTTGTATACTGTACAATTATTTCATTGTGTATTTAGGGTCAATCAGTTTTTCGTGTTTACGTGTTTCATGTTTGTGTTATTGATATTTTTTTTTATAATTTTTTGTAAATTAAAGCATTGCTAATAAACTCGGGTGTAGCTTGCTAGCTCCGTTCCGTGGTACTGATAAATTAATGACTGTTTTGTTTAAAAAATGATTGTGCGTAGTTATATGTGTGTTTTGTGTATTGAATATACACACAATTTGTGTTTATTAGTTAATCATGTAAAAATATTATACTAATTTATTGTTGGTGATAATCAATTATGACGAACGTGAGATTTCTATGTATATGTTGTGAAAAAAGTATATTATATCAGACAACGATGACGATAGCAAACGAGACGATGATGATTTTTTCTTCATTACGACGATAATGATAAAAGAATGTTCCTCTTATATTAACGATTAAATTTAAAGCAAAAAAAAAAAAGAAGTACATTTAAAGATGCGTGAAAAAAGTCAATCTTGGGACCTATCGTCTCCGCAAAAGTAGCTCTTAACGTACTATCTCAAAGCGTATCGAACCTATCAATAGACTTGAAAATGCGATGGTCCTGCGGTATCGATGATGACAGGCAATGCAACTAATCGCCTTAGTTAACTTTGAATTTACTCTTGTCAATCGAAACTTGTCTCGCAGACTGTTTTTGTACTTACGAAGCATCACATTGAATTGACACATTGTATTCTGCTGCGATTCATCGTCATAATCCTCACCTCTCACTATATGTAAAAAAAAAAGAAGAAAAAATTGTTTTGTGCCGAACCTCGGCGAAAAAAGAATTCCGCTGAAACGTGCGTCCTACATTAATACGTTGTGTATTTTTTATTTTTTTATCGTTTTTTTTTATCCAACTGAGAAATGCTAGGGCAATCGGCGCGCAAGTTTTTTCGCCGAGGCGAACGACACCGACTCTCCCTTTTGTACTTTCCTTTGCGAGCGCTTGAATCACGTCATTTTTTTCTCATATTTTTTTAAAAGACTTGTTAGGATTATTATACAACCTATCGAAGATATCGAATTTTCGTAAACGATGATTAAATTTACGCATTATATTTAAAAACAAAGTGACGAAGATCTTGTATATTTGAGGTAGTAGCCTTGTACAATTTAGCAAATAGATAATAATGAATTTAATTGTATGGATACGTAAAATTATGAATACCATTTGTAAATAGCAGCGAATTGTCTATATTAAGATTAAGTATGGAAAAAGAACAAAAACAAAAAATAATGAAATAATGTCAAAAACGAACAGTGAACGATTAAAATGATACATTCAAAGATACAACTTGAAAATTTACTTATTTTCTTCTCCCAACCCATAAGCGCCGAAAAAAAGGAACAAAAATACATTATAATACATACACGAGCCTCGGAGAGCGTTGAATCAGCAACGATCGATCAATTTTATTTGTCAAAGCAATTAAGCTAAACATTTCGACATCAATTAAATTGGCCTATTCCAAACATAGGCATATATGGGTGCGCGCGCGCGGGGACGCAGACACGCGTTATGTATTAATTTTTTTTTTCGATATACGTATAATATATTATACGCTGCGCGCGGAGAGAGATGCGCGACGCGCGTCACGCGCGCAGCTTTCATAGTATAGTGCTTTATTCTTGGCGCGTGGGCGTGTGCGGGAGACCGACGACGACGACGACGACTCGTATATGCCGTGCGGTGGCAAGTCAAGGCACTTGCGTATAATTGATTGCCGGGCATAAAAAATTCGTCGTCGGACGAGGGATCGCGCGCGACGCTCGACAGTTCGCTCGTTTGGTTGATATATATAAATCGCGGTGAAAGAGAAGCAGTGCGCGAGAAACGAAAAGGTATATATAAGCGATAACGACGCGCGTACGCAATTTATCTCGAGATACGTACAGGGTACTTATACCATTGATTGACCGCTTTCGACCAGTAAATGACCACTTTTGGATGTGCAATAATTATCGTTTTTCCTTGTTAAATTATGATCGAACACAGAAAACAAGATGCATCGTTCACTAAAGAATTGAATTACGTCCATACAAACATATTTTTAATTGTTTTTCATATGATATTTTTCAAAATGGTCATTCACTGGTATCCGGTCATTGATTGGTCTGACTACCCTAGCTTCGATCGTGTTGGATCTATCGTACTGGTCGGTATAGGTTACGAGGCCGCAGCGTGAACCCGCCACGTGCGATCGAAAGTACAAAAAAGTGTTGTGTGGATATAGGTAATCGAGTGCACGCGTCGAACGATGGACCGCGACGTTTTGATTCGTTTATTCAGTAACCTAAACCAAGTAGACCGCGACGTTTTGATTCGTTTATTGAGTAACCAAGTAGGTACACGCGTCGCTGATCCGTTCAGCGATTCCAATAGAAGTCCTAGAGAATTTGCGAACAAATTGATAAGCATACGGAAAAAGTTCAATTGGGAATCCGCAGGAAACCGAATCCAATATCAGAGTCACATCCACCGCTTGGTTTACGCCTGGCGCGGCGAATTTCCAAAGCTTCGAGGCATTTTTCGCAAGGAGGAACTCGATTGGCTTATTAACGCGGCAGCAACGGATCTCTTGTATCTTGAAATACCCGATCGATTCGTCGACTTTCTGATCGGATGCGGCTACAAGGACGAGCCCGGAGTGATCGGCCAAGACGGTCGACCGTGTGCGCGTCGCTGCACCGCGATACATCGCGCGCTCAGAGGAGCCAATTCGCTCTTCTTCGTCGGTCCTCTTTTCAGGATCTACAAGCGGTTCGATGTGAATTACACGGACGACGCGGGCTTCAGTCACCTTCACGCGGCCTGCCTGGCCGGCTGCGAGGACGTGGTTCGCGAGTTCCTCGAACGGCCGCCGCAAGTCGATCCCAATTGCGTCGCGACGGAAACGGGCGATTCGCCGCTGCACTTGGT